GTTCTGAAGCTGTAGCTGAGCGGGCTTACCGGCAGGACTCACCTGTGCGTGTCGGTGCAGTTCTGCTCATGAATGTTCTGACTTCCTGCTGCACTGCGCTCACATAAGGAAGCTTTGAAGGGGGGGAGGAGGAGGTGCAGAGGCTGCACGGTGCTGTGCGCAGCTCGTTTGCAAGTCAAAAACTGTCCCGGCTTCTGTTTTCCTGATGGAAATTCCACAGAAGAAACGGTCTACGAAGGAAAAACCTCCGTCACAGTCAGCTCTGTCAGACAATTAATCAGCTGTTTATCAGAAAAGTAACTCCTGGAAACGGAGAGAAAACAACAACAAAACCCAAAGAGTTGCAGGAACTTTGTGCAGCTGGTAGTTTGTGTCAAACTTCAACCATTTCTCCTGCAGTGGTCGATGCTTTGGGTCAATATGGAGAGACACGTTGACCTGTCATCACAAACTCCCAGCATAAATGACCACCCTGGGTCCAGTCTTAGTCCATAAACTACCACTTCTAGCATAAACTACCTGTCCAAGGTCCAGTCTTAGTCTATAAACTACCACTTCTAGCGTAAACTACCTGTCCAAGGTCCAGTCTCAGAGCCTAAACTATCAGTCCCAGGTCCAGTCTTAGTCCATAAACTACCAGTCTCAGTTCCAATCTTTGTCCATAAACTACCAGTTTCAGTTTGTCTCAGAGCATAAACTATAAGTCCAGGTCCAGTCTTAGTCCATAAACTACTAATCCAGGTCCAGCTTCAGAGCATAAACTATCAGTCCCAGGTCCAGCCTCAGAGCATAAACTACCAGTGCCCAAACCACTCACGATCCATAAACTACTAATCCCAGGTCCAGTCTCAGTCTATAAACTACCAGCATCAGGTCCATAAACTACCACTCCTAGGTCCAGTCTCAATCTATAAACTACCAGCCCCAGTTCCAGTCTTGGTCAATAAACTACCAGTCTCAGGTCCAGTCTCAGAGGATAGACTACTAGTCCAAGTCCAGTCTCAGTCCATAAACTACCATTTATTTTAGTCAGGGACAGTTTCATTAGTTGGATTTTTAATTTGGTACATTCAAATTCAATTTAAAGTTATTTCTGACTGGATCTGAGACTGGTAGTTTATGGACAGATACTCTTAAAAAAGACGGACAATGATCTGTCTTCAGAGACACGTTAAACTACGGTGTGTCCTGTAATCAGCATCACAGGGGTCTTCAGTCTGTAATCAGTCAGTCTGGCAGGTAGTCACAGGGATGACTGGTGTCATGGTGTGTACCACACTGAACATGGACCACAGGAAGCGGAGGACAAAGTGGACCTGGGGACAGGTGCAGACGTCTCAGAGTTACAGAAATCCCCTGCAGCGGTTCTGTCAGAAGGACCGGGAGACAGAGCAGCTGCAGCCCGGAGCTCCTCAGGGCTGAATCTGTCCCAGCAGGTTTTTGAAGCAACATTCCTAAAGAAGAGGACGTTTCTGAGCGAAGACTGTCCCTGACTGAGGTGGACGAGGACAACCATGGGACGTTTGACTCGTCGGAGAAGCTGTAGTCAGACTCGTGATGGGAACAAACCGTGACGAGATTATTATTAAGATAATTTTAAATGTTAATGATGTCAAACAAACAGGAGGAGCAGGTCTTCAGTCAGAACCTGAACCGGATCAATTTGTGTCTGCAGTAGAAATATGAATAAATGTTTTTAACCATATATTTTATCCTACATGTGTTCAGGGGTTTTTTTTTTTGGAGGGGGGGACATTCTGGACTTGTGCAGCCATGAGTCTTTACTCCCCTCTACTGGTTTAAGGTTGGTGCTTCCATGATCCAGACTTTGTGTTGAGGTGGTTCGGACCTACAGAGCGCTCCGGACATTCTGAGGTTCTTTCAGAGTTGTTCTTTGGGCTTCGGCTGTTTTCTCCTCTCAGGTCCTTGTTACAGAACGTTTTCAGAGGAATGTTTTAAACTCTGACCTCATTCCCTTTTGGCAACTCTCAACCAGCAAAGAACCAGTTTGACAGTCCAGACCTGAACCAGACTGAGGTGCTGTGGAGGGACGTTCAAGGGCAACTTTAAAGTGAGGTTCTACCTGACTGTGATCAGTGGAACCTTTTCAGCCGTGGCATCGTTCTGTCGTGTTATTTCTTGTACTTACCTTTAGTCTTTTTCAGGTTTTTAATATTCATCTCAGCTTTGTTTGATCCGTACGGCATTTATGTCCGACGAGAAACACAACTTTAAACAGAAGAGGAGGTCTCAGGTTTCAACTTTTTTAAACCTACAATGCAGCTTTAAGACTAATAATTTAAGACTCTAATTCAGACCTTCATGCAGGTGACCAAAACATCTCATTGTGAGCCTAATGACCCTCAGAAGGGAGACAAAGACCCTCAGGAGAGGAACTCCTGCAGGTCTCCTCTGCTGAATCTGCAATAAAACCCAATAAAACCCAATAAAACCCTGTGGTCCACCTCACTGACCCCGGTGAACATCCAGGGTGTGAACATCGAGATTGTGGACTCTTACAAGTACCTGGGTGTTCACCTGAACAATAAACTGGACTGGTCTCTCAACACTGATGCACTTTACAGGACAGGTCAGAGCAGACTCTACCTGCTGAGGAGACTGAGGTCTTTTGGAGTGCAGGGGGTGCTCCTGAAGACCTTCTTTGACTCTTTAGTGGCGTCAGCCATCTTCTATGGTGTTGTGTGTTGGAGCAGCAGCTTATCATCAGCTGAGAAGAAGAAGCTAGATAAGCTCATCAAGAAGACCAGCGCTGTGCTTGGACGCCCCCTCGACCCAGTGCAGGTGGTGGGAGACAGAAGGACTCGAGCTAAAATAACATCATTGCTGGACAACGTCTCCCACCCCATGCATGAAGCTGCTGCTGAACTGGAGAGCTCGTTCAGTGACAGATTCCTGCATCCTAAATGCACAGAAGAGCGTTACCGCAGGTCCTTCCTCCCAGCAGCTGTTAGACTCTACAACCATCACTGCTCCCAACAAACTGAGTGACCGCATCAACGTTACATCGGTGGGCTAGTATTCTACTGAAGCCTTGATTCTCCACAGCTTCTGTATTTCCTCTTTCAGCCCTTCGTATTTCTGCAGCTTCTCGTGCTCCTTCTGTAGTTTGTCGACCACTAAAATCTGGTTGGTTAGCCATCTCCTACTGGTCACTCTGGAGCTGGACCTCCACTGTATCTTAGCCCTGACATTGGTGGGGTCGCCCTTTCACTGTGGGACCTTTGGTCCATACTCGGCACAGATGTACAAGTCAGCAGCAAGTGTCCATCAGTGATGTTTCCAAAGGCAGTAGGGTGTAGCTGCAGATTATTTGCTGCTGTTCCATGTTTGACACCAGGCGGCAGCACAGAAACACTGCTCAGAGCCCACTGTGGTTTTATTAAAGGTTCTGAATATAAACTGGTAAAAACAGCAGAACTTTATTAAATCCAGCAGAATAAAGCCCACACACTTCACAGAGATTTACCAGAACTGGTCCCTAAGTTCTGGTTCTCACTGTTTGAGAATCTTCTAGTGGGTCCGGTTTCTGGAAACAAACATTACCTCAGAAACACAAACCCAGATAACCTGAATGTTCTAAACATCCATAATATCCTTTGACCCTGCAGCCATCCCAGGTCAGCTCAGTCCTGTTTCACTTCCATGCCCTCTCCCATATCCTTTTCCTGTTTTCTTTCAAAATAAAAGACACTATAATTACATCAAAGCTGCTTTTATTTACAGAAATGACAAAAACACACATTTTATACTTGACTGTTCTACAGATAATCCTCACATTCCAACGATTGAAACCACATTTGGCTTCACCGGCGATATTTCTGTTTCCATGGCAACCATTCCAGATCAACAACAAAACAAACTGAAACTACATCACAGCTGCTCCTGTTTACAGAAAATAAATTTTACACTTCACTTTTATACAGACGATCCTCACATTTATACAGTTTATATTTGGAATGAGTCAACAAAATAAAATAAAAAAAACTTGAATTTAGATACATTTATTTACTTATCTGTTTCCATGGCAACTGGTCTGAATCAAGATTAGGACTTTAAAACAACGGAAAGGTTCAGAGTTCAGATTATTTTTTACTTCATTTCCTTCAGCAGAGCTCACCACAAAAATCAGTAAGTTGTAAAATTGTTTATTTAGCTTCATTATTTCCGCTTCAGTCTCCCCTGTCCTCTCCTGTCCCCACTGTCCTCTTTTGTTTCTGCTGTCATCTTCAGTTTTTTTCTGTCATCTCCAGTCTCATCTATTCTCTTTTGTCTCTGCTGTCCTCTGTGGTCTCTTCTGTCCTCTCCTGTCTCGTTTGTCCTCTCTGGTCTCTGCTGTCCTCTCCTGTCTCGTCTGTCCTCTCCTGTCCCCATTGTCCTCTCCTGTCTATTTTGCCCTC